ATGAGGACCCTAACTACCCTCGTGGTCGTTGCTCTCCTCGCGTCGGCGTCCGAGGCAGGGGAACGACCTAGCCTGTACAAACGTGGCCAGCTGGTCCACGTCTGCACGCCCAGGGATGTGAAGATGATGGCCCGCTTCGTGTGCAGTCTCCACCGGCGCTCCGTGCGGTCCGCCTCCTCCTCCTCCTCCTCCGCCTTCGTCAGTGGGCCGCTGTTCAGGATCCCAGGTAAGGCTGTTGGAGGTTAAGGGTCGTGTGAACTTACGAAGGTCGTTTGGTGGGTCGTGGTTCACTTGGTGGGTTGTGGTTGATTTGGTGGTTTACTTGGTGGGTCGTGGTTCGCTTGGTGGGTCGTGGTTCACTGGTGGTTTACTTGGTGGGTTGTGGTTCACTTGGTGGGTTGTGGTTCACTGGTGGTTCACTTGGTAGGTCGTGGTTCACTGGGTTCATTGGTGAGTCGTGGGTCGTGTGGGTTCATTTTGTGTAACTTTTCAGAATCCCAAGTTTTTTTTTTCAAGGTCAGAGGTCGTTTATTTGCTTGCGGGTCGTCGTTCAATGGGTTTATTGGTGGGCCTTTGGGGGGGGGGGGTCAGGATGCCAAATTGCTTTTCACGATAATTCGTAAGGTCAATCCGAGGTCACAAAGATCGTTTAGTCGGTAGTAAGTCGTTGGTAAGGTTCATTTTGGGTTCATTTGGGTTTATTTTGGGTTTACTTTGGGTTCATTTTGGGCAGCTTTTCGGGATCCTAAATATGGTTGCAGGTAAGGTCGTTCAAGGTCGTTATGGGCAGTTTGGTGGTTCTACTGAATTTACTCGGGTTCACTGGGTATCTTCTTGGGGTCGCAGGTAAGTCACAAAGGTCACGGGTCATTTAGGTGCGTTGGGTTCACTGTGTGTGCTGTGTGTGTGTGTGTGTGTGTGTGTGTGTGTGTGTGTGTGTGTGTGTGTGTGTGTGTGTGCGTGTGTGTGTGTGTGTGTGTGTGTTTGTGTGATATCTGTATTTCCTTAATTATCCATACATTCTGTTAAACATGCTACGGGTTTGTTTTTTTTTTGCACATAGCGCTAATTCTTGATAAACATGTGTACAAATTCATTTTTTTCTTATATAATTCTTCATCATTCATTAAACATCAGAGTTTTGGTAAAGTATTTTTCGAGGTTTTGAAAAAAGCTTTCATATTAAACGTCTTTGTGGATTTCGTTGTGTCGAACTTAAAAGTTTCCTTATAATATTTCCTATGAAATATGGTTGGTTTCAGTGTTAAAGAAATTTTGAAAACTTGCTTTCTGCTAATTTCGATGCACTGTAAAGGTCATTCTTGTATAAATTTATAATTTGTTTGTTTTTCTTATTGTTATTGCTATTACTATCATCATCATCATCATCATCCCCATCATTATCATTAGCATTATAGATGGTATTAGCACTGTAATTATAATTATCATTGTTATCTTATTAACATAATTATTTGCAATCGTTTTCATTATTTTTGTTTTAAGTGTAGTTATTATCATTATCGTTATTGTTATCATTATTATTATCATACATATTGATATTACTACTACTGTCACTGCAGTTATTACTTTTGCTCTAATAAACGTGTATTCGCGCGTTCTCATGTGTATAAGTGTGTGTGTGAGTGCAACATGGGAGTGCATGCAACATAGGTGTGTGTGTGTGCAACACGTGTGTGTGCAATATTTACTGTATGTGCGAGCTTTGAAGTCAAGCGAAAAAAATATAGAGATATGAAAAAAAAACAGATTAACCCATCTAGAAAAAAGTGTCATAAAAAAGTCATCCGCAAAATAGACTTATTAAGAGCTGATACCTTTTTTTTTTAACTTCAGACCAGACACGATTAGACCCCAAGACACAACTCCCCCCAAAAAAGTTTTTTTTCGAAAATGTTACGTCACTCCTATCAATAAACCTATTTCACGTCTAAAATATTTCAGCGTTTGTACTTTCTTTACACACCAATACGTATTATTCCATTTGCAGTATCTCTAGTTCGAAGCGTTTGAAAAAAGCTAAATGAATATATACTTCGTCATCTCCACAGACAGACAGGGATGGATGTAACAGGAGTGTGACGTCATGGAATGTTCGAAGGAAATTTGTGAAAGTTTTGTTTATTGATGGAATATTTAGGTGTAAAAGTATCAACTGAAGGGAATTAAGTGGTTTTGTGTTCGGATTTGTATCAATATCATTTCTGGAATGGTTATTGCTAGTATACTGTTGTTTTCTTCTTTTCTTTTGTGTCTTAGTTTATCAATATTTTTTTGTCTATTTCTAACAACTCTCTCTCTCTGTCTATCTCTCTTTATCTCTATTCCTCTATCTTCCTCTATCTATCTATCTATTTGTCTATCTATCTCTCTTTATCTCTATTCCTCTATCTTCCTCTATCTATCTGTCTATTTCTCTATCTATCTCTCTTTATCTCTATTCCTCTATCTTCCTCTATCTATCTGTCTATTTGTCTATCTATCTCTCTTTATCTCTATTCCACTATCTCTCTCTATCTATCTATTTATCTATCGACTTAATCTGAGTACTGTTATCACAGTCTATCGTCTCACTATTCCTCTTCTTCTATGCGCTCACATTCCTTCACCCCTTTCTTTTTGTTTCGTTCCATCCAAATCCTATCTTTCTGTACTAAACGTGTAGAATTAGCCGTTCATTTTGTCCGTTGTCGTTACTAATCTGCATCATTTCCATGTCACTAAATCCTTTTAACAAACCGCCTCTTTTTGTATATATATGTTTTTTTAACGACTTTTTTTACCATTTCAATTTTCCAGCATTCAGAGCCTGTCGTTTTGGCGGGATATTTTCGTTGTATTTCAAAGTTGAAGTCTTGTTGGGTAAAAATGGATATTGGAATATAAATATGAGAAAGAATATTGATATATTCTAAAAAAGGATTTAGTCGTGTTCGCTTCGTATCTATTCTCTTTTCGAGCATACTCATTTCGAAATTGGAACGAAGGTTAGGCGTCTTTGGACATCCATAAAAAAGCGCCAACCTTGGATTTTCCGCATATTAACGCCAGAATAAGCGCGTCCCCAATACACCTTGCGCATTTCGACCTTCATTTGCCTCCTTTCTCGCGGGAGAAAACAAAAGACGAGCGCCCGTGTCGAACCTGCGCCTAATAATTCATCATTTCCAAACCAGTCCTTGACCTATCTTAAACTGACCTGATATTAGAGCTGCGACCTTGCTTTTCATTTAATGTATTCAGAGGCTGATGCGATTAGATTCCCTCTGTGACAGATGAGGTGGCGGAAGCGCAACGATATTAGCATATAGGCATAGATTACCTGGCGAGGGAGTACTTGCTCTCCATGTATGGGAAAGGTTGTCAGCATTTCTCAATAACTATTGTTAAAACATTTTTATAATATATGTTTAATGGTGTTTATATATGTATACACACACACACACACACACACACACACACACACACACATATATATATATATATATATATATATATATATATATATATATATATATATATATAGACACACATATACATATATTTTAAATATATATATATATATATATATATATATATATATATATATATATATATATGTGTGTGTGTGTGTGTGTGTGTGTGTGTGTGTGTGTGTGTGTGTGTGTGTGTGTGTGCATCCAGACTAACTGGCGCCGAGAGCACTTCTTTGCAGCCTCCGATCATCTACGGAAAGGTCTCGCCAAAACATATGCAGATTTCAATAATCAGGTTCATTTTTCAAGCGGAAATCTGGGTCACCGCAGAAAATTGCCTTCAAGGAACTTTTTTTTCTTTTTTCTCTCTGTAAAATCGATTGAACTTGAATCTAAAGTCTCATTTTCATTATATAGATTTTTTTGTGTATTTGTTATACACCATACGTGCAAACACATATGCATGCATATATATATATATGCATATATATGTATGTATATGTTTGTGCAAATGTATATGTGTATATATATTTATATTCACATAAATGTATTCATATATACATATTTATGTATATAGTCAGATAGACATGCATATAATGTGTGTTTATATATATATATATATATATATATATATATATATATATATATATATATATATATATATATAGTATTTATGTGTGTGTGTGTGTGTGCGAGTGTGTGTGTGCGCGTGCGCGCGTGTGTGTGTGTGTGTGTGAGTGTGTGTGTGTGTGTGTGTGTGTGTGTGTGTGTGCGAGTGTGTGTGTGTGTGCGTGTGTATGTGTGTGTGTGTGCGAGTATGTGTGTGTGTGTACGTGTGTATGTGTGTGTGTGTGTGTGTGCGAGTGTGTATGTGTGTTTGTGTGTGTGTATTCATGAATATATACACACCCTCTCCACTACCAAAATCATCATACACATTACCACTAACCAAAATGAACAACTTACCATTAACACCCATTAATTCAATGTAACGATATTACACCTATAAAGAAAACACAAATTAAAAGAGCCGTTCAAATACCCCCCAACCCCTCCTTTCCACACACACACCCGAGAAAACAAAAGAAAACAAAAACAAAAACAAAAAAAGAGAATAAAGAGAGGAAGAAAATAAGATAAACGAGAATTAAAAGGAGCGGAAGGCTTCATTTAGAGGAGATTAGGAGAAAGACGGGAGATAGACGCACAAGGTAGTCCTAGTCATTTTTCGGGTGTTATTAAGCCGTTCATTATTTATGTGGTAGTACGTGGGTGGGGGTTGGGGTGGGGGTGGGGGGAGGGGGTGGCACGAGAGACGGAGAGGCTGAGAGAGAGAGAGAGGGCGAGAGGGGGAGGGGGAAGGAATACGCTTGTGTATGTGTGCGTATGTATGTATACATGTGTGTGTGAGTGTGTGTGTGTGTGTGTGTGTGTGTGAGTGTGTGTGTACATACACACACACACACACACACACACACACACATATATATATATATATATATATATATATATATATATATATATATATATATATATATATATATATATATATACATATATATATGTATGTATATATATATATATATATATATATATATGTATATATATATATATATATATATATATATATATATATATATGTATATATATATATATATATATATATATATATATATATATATATATATATATATATATATATATATATATATATATATATATATATATATATATATATATATATATATATATA